CTCGGCTCGAGCTCGGGCTCGTCTTTTGACGAGCCCGATCGGCTCGTGGATCGCTACAGTACGAGCCGAGCGGCCGAGCCGCTCGGCTCGATTGCCATCACTAACAATGGTATTCCGGTCTGTTTCTAAGCGGGCGGTGGTCGTAGATCTGCTTCGCACGACGGGTGGCGCCGGGTTTGCTTAGAGAAAATGGGGAAAGGGGATGGGTTGTTCTGTTGTGAGAAAGAGGCGAAGGTGACGGGTTGTGGGAGGAAGGTGAAGGCCGAAGACTGGGCGACGTCGCTGCCCTGGAGCTTCTCTTCCAGGTGGCGGCGACGGGTTGCATAGAGAGAAGAATGGAGGCGATCTGAGAGAATTTGATGGCTTTGTGTGAATTGTGCATATTATAATTAATTGTGTATATTATAATTAATTATAATATTTAATTAAATATTAAAATCTGTATCTATCTATAAAATATCTGATTTTTGAACATTAAAATTTAAAATCTGATTTTTGAATTTGGATCTTGAAAAGTAGGGCTCCATGTAATTTTCACTGGAAACTAATCAACTGAACCATACAACCCATTATCATAATTGCCCAGAAGAATCATTAGACTGGCCCATTAATCCTTGGCATTACAACCCAACACAATATTTTCTATATTTAGTCTTCATGGTATAAATACGATAAACACAACACAAGCAAGCAAGCATCAAAGTTGGGATTAAGTTTTCTAATTAATTTATCAATGATATATTCACGTTAGCATTGTCAAAAGTGAAAATACGCATTTTATTATGAAAACCAAAGTTCTTTTATAATGGACATTAACACAAAGAATGCATTATAGCACAATAAAGATATTATATTAATCGAAATACTATAATTATTTTATGCACAATATACTTTTTATCAATTATAGTGTGCCGTGTCTGTAATGTAACTTTATGGTTAAGATCTATCCACAAATAAGAGATACAAAATTTTTAAAAATGTTATAGGATTAAAATCACGTTCCTTCCCTACGTTCATGTTTATATTTTGTGTTTTGCTTCAAGTACATGAGCAAACCCTACAAGAGCCTGCTAGGTTACTCACACTTGCGGGCCCCACGTGTTTAAAAATAAAAGAAAAAAATACACCCCCTCCTCCCCTCTATTAGTGGTCTGGCAGTGAACCCCTCCCCTCCCCTCCCCTGTACGTGTATCATTGCTCTTATATTTTTGCACCACGAACCACAAGTGAAATTGGTATACTAAAATCGATGAAATTATGAGCAAACTTTTCACTTTAAGGAGTACTAGAATTATTAAGATGTTGTTTTAAAATAGTAGTTTCCGATAATCTAGAAATTTCAAACAACCATAATAATGGAAAGAAATATAGGACAATAACAGAAAATTAAGGAAAACATATGGAAGTAATATTCTGTAACAAATTGGGCAAATTGAGAATATGGTTGAAAATTTGAAGTCAAAAATTCTGTAACAAGAAGCATTGCTTTTTAAGTCAAAAAGCTCGTGGTATTCAAAATTAATTTCGAAAGGAACATCCAACTTGAATAGTGTTTTTTTTGAAAAATATGTGATTAAAAAAAAAGAATTTTTTTTGAATTTACGTGTAATATTATTTTATTGGAGAATGAGTGGTTGATAAAAAGAGAGAAAAAAATTGATTATAATTTTAATGGAACCAAACGGGGATAGAGTTGTTGAACAAAAAATGGACTGATGTGAAATGGAACTGAAAGTATGGGGACCTATATGTCATGAAAAATTCAAGTGTAAAGCTTAAATGCTATATTTTAAAAGGTTGAGGGACCATACTATAATATATCCAAATCAAATACCGGTGCTTCAACTTTCAATCCCTTCTGCAGTTATATACGCTGTTAGGTGCAGTTGCATCGCATAATTATTCTCAAAACAGAAAAAAATAAAAAAAATGAAGGAAATGGAAGGGGAGGCGGAGCAGCAGCCAAACGAGTTGGTACAACTCATCGACTCGGCGGGGCATGGTTTCGCTGTCGATGTAATATCGGTGGATGACGGTGGAGAAGAACGGGAGAGTACTGGTGGTGGCGGAGGAATGGGAAGGGTCCGTGGGCCGTGGTCGCCGGAGGAGGATGCGATTTTAAGTCGGCTGGTGAGTAAGTTTGGGGCAAGGAATTGGAGCATGATCGCAAGGGGAATACCGGGTCGGTCTGGGAAGTCGTGCCGCCTTCGCTGGTGTAATCAGCTCGACCCTTCCGTCAAGCGCAAACCTTTTACTGGTGAGTTTGATGTAATTCATCTTTATTTAGTTAGAAATACGAATGAAGAATGAATTTGTTGGTCTCCATTTTTTTTATTTTTTGGACTTTTTGGGTGTTTCTTTGGACATAAAAAGTGGTGTGATATTTGGCTTGTTTCACTGCGATGGTGTGTTTGATGCGATTTGACATTCGTAACGCGTTAGTCTAGCGTAGGTTTTCAATTGCTAAATATATTTTTGGTATTTGAGGTTTATGCTGCTTTTGTTTTCTGAGGTTTAAAAATACAGGAATTGAAACCCACAAAGATTTCCATCTGTTGTTGAATGGAGTCGTAGGTGATGCTTGCAATGCGATTTGAGGGGCAATTAAGATTTATTTCTGTTATAGCATTAGTCTTCATAGCTGGTCCTGTTGTGTAAAAAATGCAAATGTAGACCCTCTATGTTGGTGTTGTGGCTGGGAGTCTTTGATGATTACATTCGAGCTGTCTTTCCAGTTCATACTAACTTGACATTGGCGAACTGCAGTTTATACAGTATTTGAGCACAAAATTTGATCATCTATAACTGATTGTAGAGCTTGTTAAGCCAACAAATAAATAAATAAATTAGAAGTCACCTGCCATGGTCTGAATTTCCAATTAATTGTGAATTAAAGCTCAACCTTGGCTTTTGGACAATGTGAACTTGACTTTTTCTGAGCTAAAGTAAGGCATGCTTGATCCAAATTTAGGGGAAGTTGAAACATTGTGAACTCCAAAGTATGTACAAATTTCGCTCCCCTGTTGCAAGATCAGATCTTGCATGAGATGAGTGGAGTCAGACTTATATTCATACATAGCTATACAGTTTTATAAGATTTTCTATTAAGGTTTCGTGGATTATTTATTATTAAAATTTAGAATCATTGGCAACATCTTGGTTGCCTTTTGATTGAGGACCTATTCAAGATGGTAGATGCTGGTGAAAATGATATTCTTATTTATTTAGGTAGCTTTGGAAAAATTAGAAGATTTCTTTTTGTTTCATTTCAGAAATAAGTATGTCTAGATTCTAGATTGATGTGTGACCACACTAGAAATAGATAAGATAAGGAATGAGAATATTTTGCCAACAAATGGAGGTTGAACCAATTGATTAGGACAACTTAGGCAGATTTCATTTATTGGTAGACAGTAGGCTGCTGGTCGGAGATTTTGTTTCTTTTTCATAGTTGTAAAAGTTCGGTTTGATGTTATAACAATGCATGGACCAGGGAAACTAATGGAATTGGAACGCAAAATGCAATTTACTTTGAGCAGTATGTAGTGGGTAGCCTTCTTTAAATTTCACTAGCGATATTTTTTGAGGAACTCTAAGAGCCGTTCTTCTGCTTGGGATGAACAATTTGACATGAATTGAATATGTATCTTCTGTTGTTTGATTCTGTGAAATTATAACGTGAAAATTGTTAGAGATATGTATGCCTTTAGCTTTCTTTAATTTGCTGGAAAAAATTTCAGGAAGTGATAGAGGAACAATTTGTGTTCCAAAACATTAGTTATGCAGTATGTTAGGTGAACCCTGCTTAAAACACGGAAGTTGCCCTGGTGAAGGCTTACTCCTTGGACAATGATTTGGGTTGTGTCGATATATTTGCATAGATAGATTGTTTTGAAGTTCATTTGCTATTAATTTAGTGAAGATGTAATTGAACTCATTGAACCTTATTTAGGAATCCTTATCTAGTCAGCTTTACTATATTCAGAGGTTTTTTTGACATTTTGGATCATGATTATCATTTCATGTTTGTTAAATTCTCAACTCTAGTCACTTTCAATGATAATTCCCTCTATATCATAGACCAGTCCTATTTAAATTGCTCAATTTCAACCTTCCCTTCTAAGATATTATATTTGTCTGAATCTGCTGGATAAATCTGTTTCAAACTTGATTTATGGCAAGGGATGTCTTTATTTTTCTCATCATGGATAATGTGTTGAGTACTTAATGTAATGCTCTATTGTGCTTATCTTCCCTTGATAGTTTCTTAATGAATTAATACTGGGAGACATGGTTCCTGTGTCCATTCCAAATAAAATCCTGGCTTGTATTGCACTTGGTCATTTGTTTTGTGAATTCAAAGATAGTGAGGCTAACCAATTTGTATATTTACCATTTTCTCTACTGGGGCAAATTAACTTAGTTTATAATCAATGTCTCCAAAACATCTACATCAGCTAGCTCTTTAAGTACCTATGTTAGTTCCTGTGACACTATAAATAATCGAAGATGTTCTCATTAGTGTTATATCTTGCTCATTGGGCTTTTCTAGCGAATAATGGCATATATACCTAAGTTGAGTAACTATGGTTTGTTTGGGTTTATGCGTAAGTAACTTTTAAAGGCCTAGGTGAATTTTGTGGCTTATAATTGTTTATTATTTGTCTGGTTTGAGTAGTCTACTTGAACCAAGAATAGTAAATAATTAGAATTGTTCAAGATACTGGATAACAATAAAATTGTTGTCTTTGGTTTTTTTTTAATGCTAAAAGACGAAAATTGACCAATTTCTGCAAGAAGGTTTTAGTAGTAAAATACTGCATGGTTATAGAAGCTACCTATTTTGATGGTTCATTAAATCCATTATATACTATCCATTCTATGACTTGAATGAGTAGTCGCATCCAGATAAATTTTGTATAAGGTGGATCGAGGTTAAACCCATACCAACATTATGTATAGAATGGATGCTCCACAAAGGTTGTGCTAGCTTAAATTTATTACCTAAGAAAGGAACAATAAGCACAAGAAACCAATATTATGGCCGGATAATTGGATGCTCCATAAAAGGTTGTGCTAGCTTCATTAGTTCAAGATATTGATGTAGAACTTTAAAGAGAACGATAGAAAGAAAGAGAATAGAGAAGATTTACAGATAGACAGACACAACTAGATAGAAATCTCAATATCATTTGAGATCATGAACCAATGTCTATGTTATTAAGAAATACCTGCTGTTCTTGCTTAAGATTCCTACCGAAAATGAAATATTAATAACTTTGAACTAGTAATTATAATAAGAAAATAAAAAAAACATCTATTACGTATGTTTATGCCTAAAATAAGTGCATAGTTTTTTAAGTGTTCGATGAAATCTCAATACTTTCTCCCCCGGCTAAAAGGAACTCAAATCCAACAAGCTAAACCAACCATAGCCGAAAGAAGAAAATGAGCCTTGGAATCACAAAGACTAAGTTAGAATAGGAACAGAACACTGTAGAAAATCCCCACCAGTAGTCACTCTAGCGACATGTGAATGGTGATGTGAACATACAATGACCATTAACCTTGAACAATAGATGAGAAACATCCCTTCTCGCATTTAAGTGTTACATTTAAGAGTTTATCCTAGACTACTTATCTTTTATTCTATTTCATTGTCCTGGTGGGAGAAATCTCGTAAATAGGTGTTCAGATCCTTCCATGCAGAGCACTATTTGTCCTTTTATGCGTAGATTATCTAAGGAGGTTCTTATTCAAAATTTGGTTCTTACAAAAGATTCTAAATGATGATTGTGATATGGTACTCCTGCGAAGTCTTATTGAGCTTGTCTTCTGCAGATGAAGAAGATCGTATAATTATAGCAGCCCATGCAGTTCATGGAAATAAATGGGCATCAATTGCAAAACTTCTCCCAGGTAGAACTGACAATGGAATTAAAAACCATTGGAATTCTACACTAAGGCGCAAGTGTGTGAACATTAGCGGGTTGAAACCTGCATCCTCAGAAGAAACCTTGTCAGGTGGCAATATGAAATCATTCAAATCTTCTGAGGTATTGGATATGGGAATGGTGGCAAATCAACCAAGGCAGTTTGAAGACGAAGTTCAAGCTACTACAAACTGCTGTGCTCCCAAACAAAATCTATCCTCAGATTCAGTAACAATTGATCCCTCTGCTGAAAAAAATGGTCCCATGGTTTATTTCTCAGCTGAAGAACATTGTCCTGTGGTTTATACCTCAGCTGAAGAAAATAATCCCGTGATTTCTCGTCCAGTGGCTAAAGTAGGTGCATTCAATGTTTACAATCCTAGCCACGTCTCTGCTTTCTCAAGGACAATCCCGATGCAGGGACCTTTGATCCAAGCATCCAAACCAGATTTCGGAATCTGCAAATTTCTTGAAGGTGCGCGTGGTGAGACCATAACCCCTCTGCATTGTGGCCATGGTTGTTGTGCAGCTTCCAGTGGAGGTTCTTCTGTCCGCTCTTTGTTGGGGCCAGAATTTTTAGAATATGAAGAAATCTCCCCCTTTCCAAGTCAGGAGTTAAGTGCCATAGCCATGGATTTGAACAATATTGCCTGGATTAGAAGTGGCCTTGAGAATGCTGGAAGTTTATCAGAAAGTGCATGTCACCGAAGAGTACCAGAAGGTCCATCCAAGTCCGTGAATAATTTTAAACAGAACAATGAAAATGATCAATGCCATTTTGAGACGCCAAACTCATTCACAAGAGTGTCGAAAGATGTAGTTTCCCAACAGATGACAATGCCTGCCTTCACTTTGCGAGCTGAGGTTGAAGGCTTGAGCTGAACCCGATACATGGTTTTTCTTTTTGGCTAATTTCTCTATTAACTTTTGTGTAACATCGAGAGTTCAAGTATAGAATTGCAAAATTTTGCTGGTCTCGGGCAGGCAGGAACCATATGTTCTTGTAAAGGGTGTTATCATTGATGCAGGCAGAGGATATCCAAAAGTTTTTTTGTTAACGTTAACAAATTGCTTTCTATAATTTCTGCAGGTGTGCCTGCCAATGCATTATTCTTATGGTATTATGTTCATAGGCCATAGTCCTAATCGATCTTATTTTACCAGTAATGGTCCTTAAAGTATGGTTCAGTGAAAATTATCACTGCAAGGAGAAGATTTAGCCAACATGTTTGGTTCTTTAGATCGAAAGAAGTCATAGTTGTGCATCTTCTTCCTCTTTTCGAAGTTATTTTTGTGATTGGATCCGACGGTGACAAATGTGGATAGGTCAAAAATTAGGAAGACACTTCTAGATAGAACTTTATTGTGCAAACATTTTATGAAGAAGGTTATTATAATATTTGACAAAAACGAGAGGATAATTTAATAGTTAGTCAATATCCTAACAATATAAAAGAGACAGTTTTTCTTGGATAGGTGTTGGATTCTCCGATCGTCAACCAAAAATATGTTGTTTAAGCATTTCCTCATTTGTTTTCATAACTCGATTTCCCGAGCTTAAGCATCCAATGTCTGCCCTAATTGCTCTCTAAGCAAGAAATCTCTAACCATGATTTTGTGGTGCTATCGGCAGTTCTGCTCTCTATCAATGTCTGTCCGCCACTGCCTCCGTACTAAGTGTCGCCGAAACCTGTTAGCCCTTTCTTCGGTCTCTTTTAGGCTTTGAGATTTTCGTGGCATTGAGTGCCCGTTTCTTCTCTCTCTTTTAGGCTTTTCGGCTTTGAGATTTTCGCTTCGACAACAAACGTCTCTTTCCCGCAAAATTCTGTCAGTGAGTGCAATGCACTTCACTGCATACTGGGACATTTCATTGAACAACTTCTGAGCAGCACCCATGTCCCCAATTGTAAAATGCCCATTTATTAAAGTAGTGTAAGAAACATCGTTGGGAAGGTGACCTCTGCTTATCATATGATAAAACAGATAAATTTTGATTCAATGTGAATATTCTTCAAATACAAACCGAAGTAGGCCGAAGCGACGAGACTCGAGAGCAGCTCCCAGAAACCTTTGAGCTTCCCTTTCGCTTCTTCTCCAGCCATCTTGGAGATTTGAGTTCTCGAAACCGTAGCAATACTACTGCGTGCGCACACAGAGACACCATGTCACACAGAGACACGAGATCAGGTTCTTTGGCAAATGCGATTTGCTGATGATATAGTTTTAGTTGAAGCAGATGAGAAATCAACCATATCATATGTTATAAAGGAGTAATTAAATCAAATAAAGTTTTAAGTAAAATAATTACGAGATTCCTGGAATGTCCTAGTAATCATAGTGGGAATGAAAATGATCATGTGGTCAAGATATAGGATATTGTTCTGCCATAAAACAATTGTTAGGTACCTAGATGATGGATCCTGCTGACCTGTTTTGCCAATGTATTGTGTTGTTTAGGTCTGTGCAGTATATTTATTTCGTCTTGCTGCAACTCTTTATTTATTGCAGTGACCGGAGCATAACAATATATGATTTACGATTGTTATCTCCGGCGAGAAAGATTATCATGAGGGTGAGTGTAATAAATTTCTATTCAATTAGTATTTGAAGAAGCCTTGTATGTCAGGTGCAATGTTTATATTCTACAACATTTCTTAGGCATTTTTTGGTTAAAACAACCGTTATTATTTTCCATGCCAATTTGCGTGTATTCTGTGAGCACCCAATTATTCTTAGTTTTTTGTAGAAGCTTTTCATACTTACAAAATATGGTGTCTTCGTATATTTCTGCTAATTTTGTATATGCTCAACATGTCTGATCTGTATGTAATTATCCTAATGCAAATGAACCTTATGTTTGACTGTGTGGGTTGAGTCGTAAAATTGAGATCGATACTTTAGATTAGAAACTTGAGTATGGGGATTGGATGATTTTGTTGGGTAAATTTGAGATTTGTTTGGTTTCACTGTTATGTAACACTCCAACAACATAAAATAATTCACTTTTTTATATGGATTGTGAAGATTTCGTTGACTTATTTAAACAAATTTATATCTTAGTTGAAAAAAACGTTATTGGTAAATAATAATAATAATTATTATTTTTACCATGTTTGTCTCTGTGCCACACGGCGTGTCTCCGTGTGGCATGAAGACACAGACACCCTATCTGTCTCCTTGCCAACGTGCCGCACCGAGACATGGTGTCTCCGTGCATGGGTCGTGTCTCTGTTTTTTTTTAACACACCAACTAGAATATTATTTTAGTGCTTGTGCACTTATACGTATTAAAAGGTATATACTTATATGAAATTGAATATGCAACATACATAAATATGTTCACATTTTCACTACCTATAATTTTCATCAATCATATTCTCATTCATAATGTATTTCAAAAGTTGTTTCGTACAACATTATATACAAGGAGACTAAATTTCTAATTTGCAGTTTTCAGTTGGATTAAGGTTTGATTGAGAAGCTTTGCTATGAGACTTGTCGTCTGTCCTTATTTTGGTTGTTTATGATGCATAATTTCCCCTTTTGTTTTTAACTTCTTTTTTGTTCATTTGTGTATTTTTCTTTGGAACTTTCAAGTTTTCTATTGAAGAAGTTTTGCTAAATAAGATTTAATTAGTGATGTCTCCAAAAATATCAAAAATCAGTCAATGCTATTACGTAACCAATTATACTACGGCAAGTGCCTTGCACGTGCGTCTCACTAGTTATGTTGAGAAGTGTCAGCCTAGTGTAATTTAAAAAAAAAAAGATGAAGATGAGAATAACAATACATAAAGTGTTAATGTATCCAAAGTGATGTGAAGTTGCAAATGGTTGGAATAGGGAAAATTAGGGCTGTCCCTTTACTTTCAAGTAATGCGATTTTGGGTTCTTAATTTTTAAAAGCGAAATGTTGGATTCTCGACTTATTTAAATGTGGTTTTCGTGATAGAAACTGTCAACATGACACTGTATGCAAATTTCAAATGATTGAAGTTAAATTACAAAACTACCAAACCACTTAAAAGTACAAATACTGAAAATCGTGTGCGATTTTAACTTCCACATTGACAATTTTTGTCACGTCAAACCGAATTCAAAGATTTTTTAAAGATTAAGGACACGAAAACTCGCTATCTAAAAGTCTGGACGCTCAGCTCTAATTTTCCCATAGATGCACAGCCACAATACATCTACACAACATGATGAAAGGACAACACAATGCTATCGGTTGCTTTATTAGTAGGTGAGAAATTTAGGTCAATTATTTAACTAGTTTTGGTCTGAAACAGTGAAACACGTGGAAACCATCTACATTTATTATCTTTTCTCACACGTGTCAGCTATTATCTTGCATTACAATTAAAATCAAATATTAATGTTAATTTTTTATTAATAATTACTATTCATTATTTTCTATATATTTTGTGAGACTGGCTATTATTCCTCCTTATAAACCATTTATAAATGTGTTAAATGAATGTTTGAATTACAATACTAACGTAACTTTTTTTACAAGTCGTCCCAATGCGCAATTGATATTTCAAATTTAATTAACATCAAATTTTCTTAGGGTTTCGCTAATTAAACGTTGTAACCCCATTTAGGCAGCGGAGTTTTGGATGAAATAAAGTTTTTACTTATTTTATTATTAGGTAATTTCTTTCTGAATTTTTTAGGGTTTCGTTATTTAAACGTTGTAAGCCCTTTGAGGCAGCTCAATTTTGAATGAAATAAAGTTTTTCCTTGCATTTCTCATGATTGAAATTCTTTTTGTGAGATTTTTGTTTTTCCTATAATCTTCCCCTACATCAATAACATATCATAAAATAAAGAGAAAATAGAATAGAAACAAGATAATAGAGTGTTAGGATTTATGTTGTATTTTCAATTCTTTAGACAAAATGATTATTATAAAATAATATGATTGTTGTAAAAGAGTTGTTAAAGTCAAGGAGTATTTTGGAGAGTTGTATTGATAAACTAGGAGTATTTAGGTTCGAGTGAGGAACTAGGAGAAAGAGTTGTCTGATTTACGTCCGCCTATAGTTCGAGCGATACACTTTTCGCTTGGCCGTCGCTTGAGCGACAGTGTTATACGTGAAGACCTAATTCTTGATTTTCAAAAAGTTATATCTATCATATGCTATCTAAATACCTCTTATCATAAACATCCAATGTCCAGTACGTTTTTTGTGTGTGGTTGATCATTGTTTTACATTCTCATAACATCGATCCAAGATCAAAAAATATATCAAAATATTGAGATTAACCCTTTGACTCTTGTGATCAATCAACCATAAGTTGGAAAAAATATCTAAGTCAAATAATCCAAAACACTCACTTCCTAGATATAATCAGAAATATACTTTCTCAATAGCTTTCAGACACTGTTGAAGATTGAGGGAGATTGGACCAAAAGCAAGGTAAGAGTACAAGAACAATGTATTCTTTACGATCCATATGAGATAGACAATTCTAAAAGATCGGGAGCAGATGAGAGTGAAGCACGTTCCATCGGGTTTTGGAGATTGTAAGAATTAGGTCAGTGAGTCTAGTGAGTTTCCTAGGTTGGATCATATTATAAGTTCTTATGATCTATAGTGGAAACTATTGACTTGATCCCGAAGTTTTTACCCAGTTAAGAGTTTTCTTCGTCATCAATTCCGTGTGTTGTTTACAATATTGATTTCATAAAAGTCGGCAATTCAACATAGGGTAGTTAATTCACGTGAAGTGAATCTAGAGTAATTAATTATTGGGACATGTTACAATATTAATCAACGATAATTTTTAATTCTACATTATTCACCAATTTACCCTCTCCATATGATTTTAGAGTCGAATTAGTAACTTTCAGAAAGAGTCGCAACTCTAGTAAGTAATTTACTGAGAATCAAGTTCTATACTTATAGTTAAAATTAGGACTGCAATGATATAGAGATCATGTAGAAATAATAATTAATTTACAACAATAAGATTTTTTTATAAGTAAAATGAAATATAATTTTGCTACTGCACTTACCGGAAAAAAAACACGAGAAAATTTTAATGTGTAAATCTTTGTCAGTAGTCCATCCACCAACTGGAAACAAAGATAAGTAAATAATGTATAAATCGTTGTCAGTAGCCCATGTGAGATAAATAGAAAGCAAAGCCAACTTTACATTCAACTCCCATCGTGGATAATTAATTTTATTATTAATTTTTTTTTTCCTAAAAACAGTTGAAATATCGTCCTAGACACATTTCCACACAACTCATACAAGTTTGTCAAAATCAAGTTTTTTCCCACCAAGATGGATTTTTGATTATGGGTAATTAGCAGATAACGTTTTTATCTTTCATTATTAGTGTGGAAAACGTCTTCACACTTCATTTTTTGATATTTTCACTTTATTTCCACATTTCATTGTGCAAAAAGTCATTTTCATTCATTTTTTTTCTATTAAAAGTTATGAAATGATGGATATATTCTACTATTTAAATAAAACAAAAGGAAAAAGAAATAACTAATTTCAATCATAATCCCAATTTTTTTTCAAAAAGTACAAACGAATAGTACATAAATTATTAAAAGGGTAATTAACACATAATGTCCATATCTTTCACTATTATTATGAAAAACGTTCATACTTTCTATTTTTTTTGGTATTTTCACATTTAATTACACATTTGATTGTGCAAACTATCATTTCTATCAACTTTCATTCAATTTCTCAAAAAAAAAAAAGTTATGAAATGATGAATATACTCTCATATTTAAAATTTAAAAATAAAGAAATAATTGCAACCATAATTCCAATTTTTTTAGAAAGTGGAAACGAATCTCAGATAAAATATTAAAAATTCAATTTTTTTTTAAAAAAAAAGTGGAAACAAGTCTCAAATAAATTATAAAAAATTAGAAATTTAAAAAAATGTAAAAAGTGCAAACAAGTCCCAAATAAATTATTTAAAAAATTAGAAATTAATTTATTTTTTTTTTAAAAAAAGTGCAAATGAGTCCAAATAAATTATTTTTTTAAAATATTTTTGAAAGTATAAACGACTCTCAAATAAATTATTAAAAAATTGAAATTAAAAATTTTATTTAAATAGAAGGGTATATTCGTTATTTCATAGTTCTATTGAGAAAATTGATATAAATGATGGTTTGCGCAATCAAATATTTAATTAAGGTTGAAAATGTTGAAAAAATGAAGGGTATGAACGTTTTTCTTTACAATAATAGTGAAAAGTATGGATATTATGTTTAATTATACTTTTAATAATTTATTGGAGATTCTTTCACACTTTTTTAAAAAAAAAAAATTAGGACTATAATTGCAATTAATTCTTTCCTTTTGTTTTTGTTTTATTTAAACAAAATGGTATATTCGTCATTTTACAACTTTAATTGAAAAAATTGGTGAAAATGACATTTTGCTCAATAAAATATGAAAATAAGGGTGAAAATATATTTAAAAAAAAAAAAAAGTAAAGACGTTGTCCATAATAATAATGAAAGGTATGGACGTTATGTACTAATTACCCTTTCGATTATATTCACTCTAATATTTAAACATATTAATCAATGATCTCCGTCTTTACTGAAAGTTGGAGATCCAATATAAGATGCATCAATCTCATTTATGATCGAGACGAAGCTTGTATATCGAAATTTTTGCTTTGTACATAGATCCCGTGCGTCAACCCTTGTAACCAAGTCGGATAGGGATCTTTTTGTTCAAAACTCATGTAGAATTGTCTGTATTACATTATTTTCAAGGAGCTTGCTGCTTGAAAAGACTAGTTGTCAGCCTCCAATTGCAATTACTATAAAACCTAGGATTAAACCTATTGGCAAAAGGACGAATTTGACGTCAAATGAAGATACAATTATACAACGTGGTTGGATAAAGTTTTGAGCAACTAGTCAAACAACCAGGAGCAAGATAAGAATGGGAACACATGAAATCGCAAAGAGTTCATTAGATTTCTACAAAAATCTTATTTTAATTCTTCTCGTGACCACAAAGAATGATGGTCTATACTCAGAACATGTTTGAGCCCCATTTTTTTTTAAGATTGCATTTCGAAATAGTAGATTGATAGAAAATGTATGGTTGAAACTAAGAAAAAGTTCTGAATTTGCATGTAATATTATTTCATTGAAAAATGTATGGTTGAAAAGAAGAGAAAGAAAAATGTATTTTGAAAATAACGAAAATCAAGTAAGAGCTTGATTTTGGAGGATATTCTACACGTAAATAATAGTAAGTACAAAATTAAAATTAGTTACACGTGGAAATACTCTCTAAAAATGGTAACCCAAGAATATGAATGAAGGCAACTCTCCTATACTCATATCATGCATTAAATCTTAAATCATGGGCCGATTCCCCGTCAAATTATAGCTCTTGTATAATTGTCTACAAAACCAATTTTAACACATCTTTGAAGAATGAAATTTCAGAAGTAACATAAAACTGTCCCATTCAGGACAGGGGCTCAAACAACCTTCTCTATTTCATTTTGCACATCTTTCACAATCATTATTTTAACACTCTTTTTTGTGCGTACTCATTTTCAATTATACATTTATACAATAAAATATTTTGTATGTAAACCCAATTTTTTTTCTACTTTTTAATCAAAAGTTCTTTAAAAAATCACTGTTCAAAATTCGATTTTACCCAAGTAATAGTTGTCAAACAAGTTGAACATTCTAACCTACGTCTTGTCTATCGAAAATTAGATAGAGCAAAACTTTATTTTTTTCCACTTAAACCTCGTAAATCTTTTTAAAGAAATTTTCTTCTTTTTCATTATGAGGATGCTTTCAATTTATTCGTCCTACAGTATATTCAATCGCGTTTAATTACGTATACATATCTGCAAGTATACATAAATAAAGTTAGATTCTTCAGAGATTGGGTTTTGGAGCAGAATCTCTCTGCATATGGAAGCAGTTTACTGTTCTGCCCATTGACTGCACTGTGTGTCTCTTTATAAATGATCTCGGTCTGATTCTTCCTCTACATGAAGATTCTTTATCTGGGCTTCCGTAAAAATGGCAAGTTTACACAAGTCCCTTGATGATGTTGATTTAGAGGCTGCTAATTTTAATGGCAGTGGCAATGGCGGTGGTGGTCAGGTTCAAGCCACCAACATAAGTGTAGGCGACAGTTCAATCTCCTCTAATGGGAATGACCACTCTACATCAAGTCCATGTGGAAGTGAGATTGTGGGTATCTCTGAAAATACTAGTATCGATGAAAGCAATAAGAGAAGAGAATCCAATGTGTCAGAGTGTTCAGTTGAGATGGTGGATCTGAAAGATGGTCCACCAGAAACCAGACTGCGTTTGGCCAAGATTATTAGGGATTGTAGGATTTGTCATCTGAGCTTGGATGCAGCCGATCAGGACTCTGGTTTACCCATTGAATTGGGTTGTTCTTGTAAAGGTGATTTAGCTGCTGCCCACAATCAATGTGCTGAGGCTTGGTTCAAGATTAAGGGCAACAAGTAAGTATTCAAACTTTATTCAAGTTTTGATCTTAATGAATGTCTAACACAGCCTTCTTGTAAATTCATTTTTTTGAGTTTCTTGCAAATTCATCTGGAGATTAACCATCTTTTAGCGTGCTTAAAAAGTATGGTAATTCTTTTTAAGTTGCTGAACTGGAGATCAAATCAAGTAGATTGTTTTGATTTTGTGTTCATTTTCTATACTTATTGGCTGCAATTATTGATGGCTACAGGCTATTCGGCCAAAAGGGCTAGGTGAAATGTTAGGAAGATACAATGTAACTTTGCTTTGGTAGAAAAGTGACTTTAAATGAAAATAAAAGACTTAACCTGATGTGGCATAAAGGAAAAGGGAGTTGTGTGAAAGGGGAAGAATCTGTGAACTAGAGAGAGAAAAAGCACCAGGAAGTTCTACCTTTATGGCCGACAATCTTTAATGTTCATTTTGTGGGAATTTGAGGTTTTCCTTAAACAATTTGAGACTGGGCTTTGAATTTTCACTTGGTTATTAGTAGTGTAGCAATTTTTCTTGCAAAAGGATTTTGACTTCACTTATAGATTTGTTGTCTGTATTATAGATTGTAGTTGCAGGTTCCTCAAACCGGATACGGAATCGATAAGAGTTGTTGCTGGTTTCTAGTTATCTAAGTTAAATTTATCAACTTGAATTAGTGGAGGCATGGGAGGAGTAAAAATCTTGAAACCTAAATTGCCTAAGCAGGTGATATCACTTGGTCAACTTGTTAGATCCATGTCTACATTGGTATAGAAAAACGTGCAAGATACGGAGAAACCAGATAGATAACAGAAAATAGAACACGCAATAAAATGAGCAAGTGCTCTAAAAAACTTTATTGACAAAATTGTCACAAAAAGATATTTTCATGTGATACTAGAATCTTATCCATTTATCATTTGACTTGGTGATGGAAATCCTAAATGATATTACCATGACTGGATGGCTATATTGGGAAAAGCAATTAGGAAGCATTTTTATTTATACTATTCATAGTCCAACATGACAGTTTGTTATTTGAGTCATTAATTTTTTATAATTTTGTTGCCTGAAATAACAAACTGCCACAGTAATATGACTATTGTATTCTCTGACCCTGAATAGTATTACTTTTTTCTTTATTTCCTCGTTCTGTCAAGATTTCAATTATATGAGTATGGCTTTTGATGAATTGAATAAACAATATTTCCTCTTCTAGTTGCTCTTCTTCCTCTCTTCCCCCTTTGTTTTCTCCTTTTCCCCTTCTTCCATAATTCTAGTTCTTATAATGACCGTCCATGTCACTTGGTAGCTATTGAGTTTTTACTGGGATTCCACTGGATAAAACCATTGTGGATTGTCTTGGTCTTACATAATTAAATTAATTCCTCAAACTATCCTTTTGATTTACAAATTTCCTCCACACACACCACACACCCAGGCCAATGAAAGAATTGTAAATAAATACTGAAGAAAAGGTACTCATATAGAGATGCAGCGTTTGGCTAAAGGAAAGAGGATAATTTTTTTTGTACAATTTATTCTCGTCGAACTTCTCATCATTTTCAGATGCTCTCTTGTAGGGTTTTGCTGTTTCGTCATTGGTAACCTTGAAACTTCTTTTCTGCAAGCTTTCATGTGAATGATATATCTCTGCCATTTCAGTAATTTAGTTGTGATGTTTTGGGTAGTGGTTAACATCGAACATTCAAGAATTTTGATGCTTACTGTACCAACTCAACCTTTCAATGGGACCCTTTTTTTTTTTGGAGAGTTGGCAGCTGAAGTACAAGAGAATGGTCTTAGATGGCATGTTCTTTGAAATTATGTGCAATCTCTTGATACAATTGCTAACTGTTCCATAGATGCGCATTCATTGACTCGGTTATCTATTCTGATGCTTGAAGGACTTATTTTGAAGTTACGATGTTAATATCAGAAGGGCTGCCTCGAATTTCAATATCTATTTCTTTGACTGGATTTCTCATATAAATTTCAGATGGGCCACCATGTGATTCTTAACAATGATCTGTTCAAACCATGTGGCATAAATTTTTTGGATAAATTTGTGCGAGGATTTAACTCCGTTCCACCTTCTCTAGAATCTCTACTATGCCTTGATAACATAAGATGCTCCCCCAGTTTTCTCGTGAAGTCTTTTGTCCCCATTTTATTTCTTGAACCGCGTTCTCATCGTTACTTTTAGTCTATAAGCTCATTCACTGACCTAAACATTTTAGTAAATCAAATTTCGAGTTATGAGAGGTTCAACTTTTCAAAACAGATAATGATATATATAGAAAAGGATGCCTAACCAACAGTCAAATCACCGTGCATTTACATAACCCTTAAAATTTTAAGCATACTTCCCTTTTATCTTACCTGAGCTCTGAAATAACAGCTCAACTTTTTTTATTTCCTGGTAAGTCTCTGATCTCCAAAAAATCCGAGGAGAATGCAACTGATTTACCAAATATTGTTTCAGCAAGAACAGTGATTAGCACTTCAATTTGTGCATCTGGTTGGTTTTGCAGTTATCTTTTATTTGGTAATTCTAACGAAATTGGACATCTTGCACTCCTCATTCGCCCTGATATCATCTTTTCAAGTTTTAGGTACATTGTACACAATTCTTTAGAAGCAGTCTCGTCATGCTATGCATTAAGGTTTCTATCCATTTTGATTTGCAGAACTTGCGAGATATGTGGATCAATTGCACGAAATGTTTCTGGTGTGAACGAGGCTGAGTTGATAGAGCAGTGGAATGAAGCAAATGATACAGCAGCCACAGCTATGACATCATCATCCCCAGCGGTGTCTCGGAACTTTTGGCAGGGTCGCCGATTTTTGAACTTCTTGTTAGCATGTATGGTATTTGCATTTGTCATCTCTTGGCTTTTTCACTTCAATGTTCGCTCATGAGATCTTCACCAGGGCTACAAAATGGAAAATCAAGAAAACATCAAGACTTCTGTTTTCACACTTCCAATGGGCTCTTATATGCTGCCACGTTATGTATATTAGGGATAGCAGTTCATAGGACTTGCACCTGTTGTGTTATCTACTTATTGTGAGAATATCCTTCTTTATTGCAACTTAATCCCACTGCTTCATTCCTAGATATATATTGCGATGTCTTTCGTCATTTTACACTATTCTTTGTTATATCTGCTGCCAGTGACCTTTATAAACCATGTTTAGTGAATAATATAAAACTGGTGTTGGGTTTTGATACCCAATAAATTCTTAACAATGATGTTAAACAGTTTGGATTATATTTCATAGGCTTCGGCCGATGAGTGAAATAACTATCAATACAATAAATTTGTAGGCTCAACTCGAAAACAACTCAGGCCATTGGAAACAACTTAGGTGTCGTTCTCTTTGCCGTTTTCTGTTTTCGATTTTTCAAAACGGCGAAAACGCGTTTTCTTCGTCATTTTCGAAAACGAAAAAAAAAATTGTGAAGAAAACAGAAAACGGCCAAAAAGCCGTTTTTCACGTTTCCTTCACAAACACAGCAAAAAATGGAAAACACGGGAAATGGCCCAAAATGACTTCCACCTTTCTGCTGCAACACAGGAAACAGAACAAA